GAGAGTAGCCACAGTCCAAATAGGGGACTTGATTCCCAAAGAAGCGACTTGGAGCGTTGCGGGAAGCAAGATGGACTGGAAGCTCGTAGGGACCAGGTCCGTAGATATTATGATCAAAGGTAAAATGGTGTCCAAGCATTGTTCATACTGGGGCCGAAATGAACATCATAAATGAGAACACTGCAGAGAGATTAGGGCTGAAGATTGATGAGAATGATTGCGGATTTCTCAATGGAGCTAGTGGCAAAACCGGATACACGGGAGTCGCTTCAAATGTTGTAATAGAAATAAAAAGGGTCAAGGTGCGCACATGCTTCTATGTTATGCCCAGTTTGGACCTCCCGATTTTACTAGGCAGATTCTTCTTGTGCAGGTCCGAGGCGCTCATTATGAACAAACATGACAACACCATGTTCGTTATCTTGTGTGACCCCGCCTGTTGGAATTTTGAAGTAATTACATGTAGAAATACCGGCTCTCACACTTCGAAGAACCGGCTCAATGCGGGGTCTTACACGTTTGAAGAATCAGAGAATACGCCGAGAGAACTGGAATGGGAGAACGAAGAGAAAACAGACGATGAGGAAGCAGGAGGGCTCGTATTAAGTCTATCAAGTATTAGCGATGCAGTTGAGTTGGTGTCAGCCTATAGGATGGCTGACCCTGATGTCGTCACAGCGCTTGTGGAAAGAATCCAGGAAGACTCAGAAAGAGTGAGAGTCGATTTTGTGTACCGACCTCCTCCTCCTCAGATGAAAGAGCCACAAATGTCGAATGCGCAAACAACCAGCCAACATGTTTTAGGGGTGGGCTCAAATAGGGCTCCAAAAGGCGGTACAAGACGGTAAACAAGAAAAGTTATCCGGTACCGGTGCTGGTAAGTTAGGAAGAAAGGGTGTACTACGAGCAAGAGAGAGAATTGATATGGCAGATGAGAAGGGAGGACTAAAAATTGATCGTGTCGCATCAATAAGGAAACTAAGAAAGATTTGATAATAGACGAACCCGGTTTCCTGACAAAACAAGAAGAAGCTTCGGTAAAGGACCTGATACGTGAGAAGCATAAAGCATATGCTTTCAATGATGATCAACGCGGACGGCTGGATATTGATAAAACCGAAATGATCCGCATTCATACTGTGCCTCATGAACCTTGAAATGTTGGAGGAGTTAAGTACCCCAACCCCGAAGATCGTAGAAAGGTGGCGGAGTACCTACATGGGAAGATTCGCACGAATGTTGCAGGGTTTTCTACCGGACCATATGCTTCTCCTTGGTTTTGCTTTGTAAAACCAAACAACGTGCTAAGATGGGTACAAAACCTCCAACGATTAAATGTGGTGACCGTGAGAGATGCTGGGGGATTGTCTAACGCTGATCAATTATCGCAATGTTGCGCGGGAAGATCGATTGTATCTCTTATTGACCTCTACTCTGGGTATGATCAATTTTCGGTCTATCCCGCAGACCGTCCTATAACAACAATGCACACGCCTAGAGGGTTAGTCCATATGAATATTGCACCCCAAGGTTGAACCAACGTTGTGGCAATGGTGCAGCTCAATATGATCAGGGTAATGTAGCCAATCAACCCTCAAATTACCGAGCCATACATTGATGATCTTGTCGTCAAGGGCCCTATCGAAAAGGATGAGTCAGAAGTGGCTCCTGGGATAAGGACATTCGTATGGGAGCACGTCCAGGGATTAAGAAAGGTTTTATCTCTCTTACAAGAATAAAATCTCACTGCCAGTGGCATGAAGTCAAGGCATTGTGTGAAGGAAGTGACCATTCTGGGATATGTATGCAATCAATTTGGTCGACGACCCGATGGTAAAGAAACTAACAAAATCCTGGAATGACCTACTCCCTTCAAAAATATTGGAGAAGTCCGTAGCTTCCTTGGAACCTGTGGATTTTGGAGAAGGTTCATAGAAAGATTTGTCACCAAGACAGAACATCTGAGGAAGCTAGTACGAAAGGATCAGAACTAGGAGTGGGGTGACCTTGAAGAAGAAGTGGTCGAGGAGTTGAAAAAGGAATTCAAAGAAGGAAGTTTAGTGTTAGGGGTGTTTGATTTTGATGTAACTATGGAAAAACCAGTCATAGTTGAGACCGATGCTGGACCGACCGCCTTGGGAGGTGTTTTGATCCAGGCGGACAGTAGTGGGAAGGAGAGACCGTTAAGATTCGAAAGTCGAACACTTAACGCGACAGAGCGGAACTACTCGCAGTTCAAAAAAGAAGCCTTGACAGTTCTGCACTGCCTAAAAATTTACAGACATTACCTTTTTGGAAGGAGGTTTATCCTCAGGATTGACCCAACAACGCTCATGTATTCCCTCAAGAATTTTTCAGCATTAGACCCGACCATAGCCAGGTGACTTACCTATATATGGATGTTTGATTTTCAGCTAGAACGTATCCCAGGAAATAAGAATAGGGCTGATGGTATGAGTATAATTGAATAGGGAGATCGACCAGGGTCGGAAGAGGAGGCACCTCCGGTAGATGAATTTTTGGAAGAAGGGGAAGATAGGCGCACTCACGTCAACTGTTGGGCTATGTTCGTTGAAAGTAAGGCAATGAGGAGAGGAAATCCAATGTGGCATCCGCCTCCTGAGTTTATGAGGGAACCTGCCTTGATACTTACGCCGATAGTAGAAGAGGACTCATGGGGAGAAAGAAATGTGAAATGGATGATGGAGTTGGCCTTGGCCGAGAACTATAGGATAATGGATGAACCACGAACGGTCGAAGCAGGAGTCCGACAAGCAGACGAGCAAGTAACCATAATGGGTAGAATGTACTACTTAACGAATTCCCTCTTACAAGTCCAATCGAATGATGAAGGGGGTATGGGGTGAAAGATGATGAAATAGTAATTGGGGATGATTACGAATTTGATGAGGAGAAGGAGGAAGAATTTGAGCAAGGAGAGATTTTAGAAGATTTTCGAAAAGAGGAGTATCATGGGTTCTATCTAGAAATGAGGTTGCTCTTTTCAGGAGACAAGAGAGAGAGAGAAGTTATTGAGAAGGCTCTTCAAATGAGGGATCATTATGTAGTAAGAGGTGGTCATTTATTCATTAGAGATAAGAGGGGGCCGCCGCGGCGACTGGTATGCAGAAAGAGTCGTCAGATTGATGTCATAGTTGCACTTCATGACGGGGTAGTTGGGGGACATCGAAGTTTCGCAGCAACCTAGAGGAAGACGATAAAACTCTGCTATTAAGAATGAATGTTTGAGATGACTCGTAAATACTGTGAATCATGCGTACGTGACAGGTACGATCGCTCATCAATTATAAGGAGGCTCCGCATCCCAGGTACATCAAAGATGTGGGGGCGGTTGTCCATTTGGACCTATTGGCCATGTCGCTGGGGCTCGGCGGATATAACTATATATTTGATGCAAGGGACAACCTTACCGGGTTTGTCGATGGCAAAACCATTTGGGACAAAACTGGAGAAACATTGACAGAGTGCATTAAGGAATACTACCTCAGGTATCCGTTCGTATTGGAGTTCACGATGGATAGGGGTTCTGAGTTTACATGTGGGGAAATGAAGGAACTATTGAAAGAAGCGGGAGTAATAGGTAACTACACAACTTGAGCTCACCCACAGGCAAATGCGCCAGTTGAAAGAGGTCATAATACCATTACAAACTTGCTAGCCAAGTGGACCAATCGGAGGCCGAATCTCTGGCCAAAATTTCTGAGGACGGTATTCTTCGTGGAAAATGTCACTATCAAAAGGACGACAGGATATGCGCCTGCGACACTCTGGTATAGTCAGCATGCCACATTCCCAATAGAAAGTTTTCTGAAGATGTGGTGCAGAGAGGACTTGGAGAATGATCTGACATTCGAAGAGTTACTGGACCTTAGGGCAAGACAGATCAGCGTCACGGAGGAAAGGATTCAGGAAGCAGCCACGAGGGTGGAAGACAGCCATGGAAAGAACAAACAAAGGTGGGACAAACTCTCTAGAGTGGGGTTTGAACCGTTGCAAGTTGGAGATGTTGTGTTACTTTACGACTCTTCTTTGGAAAAACAGTGGTCGCGAAAGTTGGACAAGTGTTGACTTGGACCTTTCAAAATCAGGAAACAGGGACTCCATGGGGCCTATGAGTTGGAAGAAATGGACGAGACTCCAAGAAGAGACTGGGTTTCAGGGTCCAAACTGAAGAAATTCAAGATCAGAGAAGAGGTGAGCAGAAGTTGACAAATGAGACTTAAGTAAGCGAGGGTATGATCATAAATATATATATATATATATATATATGTATACGTATATATATAGCTATATACATATGGCTATATTCATATATATACGTATACGTACAAGTGAAGGATGCCTTGTCAAACTTATGATGATGATGTGAAGTGTTGCCTTGATGATGATGACTGATCCTTATACCTGTCATTGCTCCCTCTCTGCGTGCAGATGTGACCCTTGAGGAGAAGTGACCATGGCGCAAAGAGGAAGGATGACAGGGCCCTCTAGACCTACCTTGAGAAAGAGAGGGCAGAGGAGGGATCAGAAAATCTCAAGGAGCATGGAGGAGATACCAGTCTACAGAGCAGGGGATAACTTTCGGTTGTTCTTGAGGGATTTCGAGGAGTATGCTTTCAGACGAGAGTGGGATGACAGGATGAAACTCTCAAAGGTGACTAGAGTGGGGGAATATAAGAAGAAAATTGGAGAAGTGGCAGCGGGGTGCTTGAGGTGGAAGACTTGTGTGGTGAGATTGTGGTAGCTCATTGGAGACTTTCCCAGAGATGAGATTGAGGATGATCTAACCTTTGATGGGACGAACATGGATGATTTTGTCGACAGTCTACAACTATCTGTAGAGAAAGGTGGATGGAATGATGAGAAAAGGCAGAGGAGGTTGATAGAGAGGACAGAGAAGAGTGAGAATGAGGAGGTGAAGGGGATTGTAGAAGAGGTTTGCACGTGGCAGGGGATATTGATAAAGTTGCAAACGGCATACACCTAGATGAGGCAAGACCAGACAAAAAGGGAAAGGCTACAAGAAAAGGGACTGTGGATTGGAAGGGAGAAGGATGAGTTGCAGAGAGAGGCTCAGGAAGAAGGGAAAGAAGAGGATGTACCCTCGAAGAATCTGGGAAGCAAGCCCAAAACTTTTCCCAAGGACAGAAGAAGGGGGGCAAATCAGGCAGTGGAAGAGGAAGAGAAGGGGAAAAAGGAGGCAGCAGTGAAGCTGAAGAAAGGTCAAGGAGGGAATCAAGCACCAAGAGTTAAAAAAAGTGAAGAAAAAAAGTCAGTTGAGGATGGTGGAAAATGAGTTGAGATAAGAGGAAGAGAGAAGAAAGGGAGAGTAGAAAATAATAAGCAAGTGGAAGAAGAAAAAGGGGAGGAAACAAAGGTGGCATGTGAAGAGTCATCCCAGAAAGGGAAGAAAGCAAAAGAAGGGCAAATAAGCAAAGAAGAAAAAGTTTAGAGAGAGAAAAGGAAAAAAGGGTGGAGAGATTATGTAATCAAGATGCTCCAACATGATGATCTGCCTGTGAATTCTTCTTGGGATGCGAGATTTGAAAGAGTGTTGCTCTTCGAGATGGTGGTAAGTTTCAAACACTCCACCAACATGCATAAATTAATGGGATTGCATGAGATGTTGGATGAGAAGTGCACCAGAGTTTTTGAGAAGTATGCGCAAGTGGCAAGGAAACTGGGGGAGATGAAGAGAGGAAGAGATGAGAAGGAACTTGGAGAGGATTTGGATGCATTGGGGAAAGAGCTTCAGTCAGAGCTCAAGGAAAGCACTGAGCTCTTCACCCAAGGGTTTGTGGATTATATCCCTGAGCTCTTGAAGAAGATGAGCAGGCTAAGGAAAAAGGAAGAGGAAAGGGATGCCCAGGTAACAAGTTTGACAGAGAGTTTGGAAGGGATGAGAAAGGAAGTGGAGGACTTGAAGAAGGGGAATGAGGAGTTGTTAAAACAAGTAAGTACATTGGAGGTTTCCCTGACCCATAAAAGCAAGGAGTTGAAAGATGAAGTGGCAGAGACGGAAAGTAGGAAAGAAAGTTAAAAGTTTGTGTTCAAGGATCAGTGAGCAAGGGGAAGATCTAGAACAAGAAATTACTGAAAGGGAAAAAATGTGTCAGATATGGGAAAAGAGATGGGGTGAGATATTGAAAGGGATAGAAGAGCTCAAATTAAACTACCAGGAGATCACAAGAGTGATGGAGTGGAAAAATGAGGAAGGGTTTGAGATTAACATGGCAGAAGGAGAAAGGAAGATTCCTCTGTCAAGAGAAAAAGAAGGAAGGAAGGGTGAGCAGGTTGTTGGAAAGGGAGAACCCTCCAACAAGAGGCCACAAGAAAAACCAAGGGTTCAAGGGTCTCCTGCCTCAGAGGAAGAGAAGAGTGAATGTTTGGCTTTGCCTCAAAAGAGGAGCATCAAAAGGAATGAACAGCCTGGAATGAAATCATCAGAAGGGGCTCGGAGCCAGACAAAGACTTCAGTCCGGCCTCACAGAAAGAAGGTCAGATACAACAAGGTTAGAAGTGGGTGCTTCTTTTGCACAGAAGAAGGACACTTCCGAAATAACTGTGCAATATTAGCTGGCTACATTAAGGAGGGATTGACTAGATTTGACTCACATGGAAGGTTGGTAACCAGCACTGGACAGATAATCCCCAAGACACCTGAGGGTGGCAGAATAGAGCTTCATCGAATGCTGGGACTGACAATCACACTCTCAGATTAGAAATAAGCAGGCGTTTGAAACTTCCTAAGTAAGTTAGGATGTTTTGTTAGAAGCAAATGAGACAAAATGGGTGAGCAGAGTGCAGCTGGGAAGGGATAGGCTTTCTTTTTTTAGATTTGGTAAGGGTAGAAGCTTAGAATAGATGGTAGTACAAGAGAATGCATAGACATTCGAGGGTCGATATGAGGTTGAGAGGGATGAAACAAAATGGGTGAGCAGAGTGCAGTTGGGAAGGGATAGGCTTTCTTTCTTGAGATTTGGTAAGTGTAGAAGCTTATAATAAATGGTAGTACAAGAGAATGCATAGACATTCGAGGGTAGATATGAGGTTGAGAGGAATGAGTCGCAGGTCTGACTCACTGTAACATTCTTGTATTTATATATATGTTCAAAGGGAGAAATGAGTTGGTGACCATAAACACTTTTCACACTTGTGAGTGGATCCTTGTCTATGGTTGAGTCTTCCTTTTGTGAATAGGCATCTCCCTTCGTTTATCACTATTGGACGCATTTGAGGCATGAAGATGGTGGTAGAGGAACGGGCGGATCAGTGTCTTGTGTGAAAGTCAGTAAAGGATTGTACGATCCGATGCTGAATTGATTATGTGCACATGTTGAAAACCCATACTGCGATATGGGCAAACTATTTTCAATGAGCAAAGTTATTTTACCATCGTCTTTGAATAGGAAGTTTGTTTTATTGGTTTCAGACAAGCATGCGTGCCTTACCGAGCTAAGATCAAAGACTTGGACGACACAACCCTGAATGGCAACCTGACGATAACTCAATTGGTTTTGAAAATCTCATTTATTTGGTTTATTTTAAAGAAGTATCGTTCATCCATCTCAAGGGTTAACTTGAGGGCATAAAATTACCAAGCCTTTGGTGAAAATTGGCATCGTTGGGACGTAACTCCCTGCGTGGGCTGTTGACCTAGCATGACCAGGCAGCGGACCCTTCGATTATGACCTAGAAGAGAGACTAGAGGGGATGGCCCCCCCAGTGAAAGGATCTACTCAGGTGGGAGTCGAAAGAGTCGAGATCAGTCTTGAGATTTGTGAATATACTTTTGAAAATATAGGATGAATATCCCAAAGTTGCGCAACCAACGGGGGTAACCACCGTTAAACAACAGCACGGTGGGCCGCCGCTCCAGCCTAATCAGCAAGATTGTAGTGGGTCAAGATGGAGACTGCTTGTCCTCCCGTATTAGGCTACAGGCAGGACATCTGGCAACCTTGGACATTTCTACGAAAAATTGGGCATCCTAGGTCTCGGTCAGCACCCGCGTTTGAAGGGCCGAGTTCGCATGCGGACACTGACCCTGAAAACAACCAACGATAATCTGGGTCAAAGTCTAAGGGTGAGGGGAAGGAGGAAACACTGTCATACTTGACGATTTCATGTACTGTAATACAGATCGAGTACCCCCGCTTCAAGTTGTTTGATTTTGTGGATATGCTGCGGGAGACCCGGGTTAAAAACCCCGACAGTAACAATGAAACGTGAGGTCATGATGTCAATCATGAGCCACACTTCATTCCAGGGATTCGGATTTGACGAGTTGTTTGTCGGAAACATCTTTGTTTGCATATAGTTCTCCTGCAACGGGGACGTCGCTTAATGGGGTCTGGAATACTGTCGGACCAAATACCCTTACAAGGGTATTTGACCATCATTTTACAATTTACACATCGGTTGTACTGACCACCATGACGGAGTCGGTCTAAGCTTAGAGATGCACGCGTCCTTCACACGACACTATAAGACGAGTTCCTCCACTATTGAGGTCGGGGAAAATCGGTGAGAAAATTTCGAGAGAGAATACGTGCGTGTTATTTTGACGCACGCTGTGATGGTTAGGATTGGTAGTAATACCCTCTGCCCGAGAAGGCCAGGGGGCTGATTAGGTTAGTGTTGTACCATGGACATCTACGACACACACTGAGACTTGGGCTGGTACCTGTCTACTTACCGTTACTGGTCCTCTGAAATTGCCAATTTGTCTCTCCTAATCGGCCTCGAGTACTCGACGTATTTACCTAAGTTTGGTGTGATATCGGTCGGCCTGTTACCTAAGCTCTTTCTGCGGCTCCTAAATATCGCGGGCCTCTTTTTCCACCACTTGAGTGTTTTCTTGCCACGACCCTCACTGACACGGCCACAGCTAAGTACCAACCTTTAGGCCCTCTAGTGAACCAAGTGTCTTGCGGCCACGCACGTGGATTCAGAGAAACGGGCGGACTACTAGGTGGGTCGAGACCCAATATGTATCGGGACGGTTCCACTTTTACTCGAAGTGTGAGCTAGTTCAATCGATTTCGGGGTAGATTGATAAACAAGAGACATAGGGATCAAATCTGCCCCGGCCTACGAGCTAGCCTTTTGCTATAACGAAGTCGCGCTTTTACCCCGACTTCAGGCGAATGGGGTTTCGAACCCGCGACCTCGAAAACGAGAGAAGTTAGAATTAGACCTCGTCGTGACAGTTGGTACAACGAGGTAGTTAGTAATCGGATTTAGTTAGATTCGTTTTTTTTTTTTTTTTCCTCTCTTATTTATTTATTTCCTTGTTAAATTTGAGGCCCTGTGGTTAATCTCTCGCTGCTTCACTTTCGTGAATCTACCTCTGAATTCAAGACTGATTCAGGAAAAGGGAAGGTATGGACTGCGAAGGAACCTCGACCGTACTGAATCCGGCTGCGGCACTGAGATCTCTCTCGCAGAAGGGAGAGGAAGAAAACGCGAAGGCGAGTGAGGGGGGCGCGAGCACCTCTAAAGAAAGGTGTGGGCGAAAAGAGAGGGTACGCGCGGGCTGAGCCAGGAAGGCAGCGAGTACGACGAAGGAAGGCGACCGCTCGCACGAGTTGGGAGATGACGGGGTAAGGACACGACGGACAAAGGGTGAAGACAGCGCGAAGGGGATAGCAGAACGGAAAACACGTAAGAAGGGGGATAAGAAGAAGGAGGAAGAAGGAGGAAGAAGGAGGAAGAAGAAGGAGGAAGAAGAGGAGAAGGAGAAGAGGGGAGGAGACAACTTGCCTGTCGTCTGCCCGGCTTGTTGAAAGGCGCACTTGTGTCGGTCGGGCTCTGCATATCGAGGTCTTGGTACGCTGTGCAACGTGGCGAGACGTAGCAGATTGGCTGCGATTGATCGAAGGCTGCGCTGACAGAGGACGACAACAGCAAAGAGGAAGAAAGGACAGGTAAAGTCTCCTGTTACACGGCTTATCTCACGGAACTTCCATCGATAGGATAACCAAAAAAACTCGAATGAATCTACCGCTAGAATATAGAAACATACACTAGTATTACGTTTGTGACTATCAATGTGTGTATGCGCCCCGATCGCACGACTCATCCTCCGCTGCTTCAAAGAAATCGAATGAATCTACCGGTAAAACTTGGAAGTACACATTGTTACACTTGCGTGCGTACGAGTATGTAAGGAGGAGAGAAAGTTCTCCATCGATTAGGATGAGCGGCGCACCGGCCGATAGGTAAGTCTCCAACCCCAATGACCGACCTCACGGTACTTCTAGCGACATAAGGGACTAAATCGAACGAGTCTACAACTAAGACAGGGAAACATAAACTACTACTATGAGAGTTTGTGTGTGTGTGTGAGAGAAAGAGTGAAAGAAAGAGGAGGATCGAGTGAGTGACCAATGTCACGGCTTGCCTCACGCGCCTGCGATCCGAGATGAAAAGAAATCGAATGAATCTCCTGCTACAACATGGAAATGTACACCGCCACTCATGCCCGCACGTTGTCGTGCCTTCGCCCCGGCTCGTCTACAGCCTGCAAGATTGTCATTTGCGAAGTGTGTGTGTGTGTGTGTGTTTGTGTGTGTGTGTGTGTGTGTGTGTGTGTGTGTAAGAGAGAGAGAGAGGATGAGACTTGCCTGGTCGCCGCAGATCATCACCCTTGCATATTGTCATTTCGCTTTTTTTTTTTTTTAATTATTATTATTATTATATTATTATTATTATTATTATTATTATTATTATTATTACTACTATCATCGACAGTTGCCCATATTTGAATGGGGCCTGTAACTGAAATAAGTCGAGGGGATTGCTGGCTAAGATCTGCTCGTACTTCGGGGATGTTGTTGACAGCATTGTAGGTAGTAGAGTAGATAGGATCGGTCATCTGTAGTCTAAGCACCGAGTGCCAGATAGGAGGTTCGACATTTGGTTCTTCGTTGATGATGATAAGTCTGAGAGTCTCGACCAGCATTGTCACTTATGAGCTTTGTTGCCCGCGTATTTGATGAAACTCGTATTGCAGTACTGCTCGTTGTTCGAGGTTATGACTATCTGGTCTCATGTGTGTAATGCTGATTAGTTTTGAGGTTCGTTATCACTTAGCTCCTTGCAAATGTGATATATCGTTGCTACTATTATGATTATTATTATTATTATTATTATTATTATTATTATTATTATTATTATTAATTGCAATCACATTCGCTTTCTTTATCACTTCACCTGTGTGTTTGCAGGTGGCACCCCAAACCGGGTTCTATCTCCTGGTTGTACACTTCTGTTCGGGTTTACCTAATTTTCACATGACCCTGAGTACACACAGTCCCACGTGGTACTTGTTGACTGAACTATGTGAGACTGGGACTGGGTACCGCTGACTCAGCATGGGTGGACCTCGCCGCTTGCCCACTTGCCTCTAGTCTGTTTAAAGGGCCACTCCCGGAC